AAAAGATCAAAAATAATTTAAATAGTTGGCAATATTTGGTAATACATTTCAATAACAGGATAAATTCTCTATACCAACAATGCATCAGTCTTGAATTGGAATTGCAAAAATCAAAACCAACGTAGGAACTGGATAATATGAGTTATTCCACAAATTAGAGGACTGATTCGAGACCAACAACTAAGTCTGCCTAAATTGAAAATGAAGACGTCTTTAAGATATGAAGTGCAGGCGAAGTTCAAAGTTCACCTGTGCATGCTTGATAGCAAAGGCAGAAGAGAGCAAATAAAAATGAAACTGAACAACATTTTGTTACTTATTGTTTAAAATGAATATAAGTGAACATTAAATTGGCCTACTTGTAAAAGCAAATAATCCCAGTTTTATCTTTTCTCTACCATTGCATGCACACTGAAATACCAAACATTGTTTAATTTTTTATTTTTTTTTTGTAGTCACTGACTACTGGCATCCTTCATGAGAGGCAGTTTTACTCGAGTCAAATAAAACTACTACAGCTGACAAAATTTAAAGTGGGAGAGTATTCAACACAGTCAATGTCGATTGATTCCGCTACCGGTGGTGCGCCTCGCTTTATTTCATTAATGAGTAGAGAATAAAGGGAGTAGGGCATGTTAATAACGCTAAACTTTTATCACTTTTCACTTTATCCACTAAGCAAGCAATCATATAGTACCTTACAGTTTTGATTAAAGATTTCGACGACTTCCAACTCTCACCTATATTCCTTCATGTTTCAATACAAAACAAGGACAACAAAGAGTAACGGGAAAACAGAAAACCTGCTTAAGATCTTGGCGAGACAAGTTGGACATGGAGAAAAATTTGGTGGCATCACTCCCCGTAATGCGGCCATCGCTATCTAAAAAAGGAAGTGTACGGTGAAATTTCTGAAGAAAAAATAAGGAAAACAAAAATCATTGAAAAAATGTGTTGTGCTGTGTGTACTGTACCTGAATCAGCGTAATTGAACCAGTCCTTGTAGATCGCCTGGTGTTCTTTGGAGCACGAACCGATTGGGATCGGGTCGAACTCCATTGATCGTAGAAAAAGCTTCGAAACCGCGGGTTTGAGATCTCGCACGCGTTCGAGATGCTGCGTTTTAACGCTTTTTTATCTTTCTCGTTGAACTGAAACGAAAGCGTTAAACGACGACGAGGACTTGCATTAGCATTGTCGTATTGGCGTGGAAACTATCCACCCAGAGTCGGCGTAAAGACGGTGCTTTAACGAACCTCGTTTTTGATAATTACCAAAACTAGTGCCAAATTAGCCTCACTTTTGCTTGCTGTTCCGATTCTAATATTAACTTCACGTTCAATTGGAAGTTCCTGTCATCCTTTATCACTCCTTTTCAATTTAATCAATTGGGTAGGGATTATATATTAATTTTACTATTTTGAGGATAAGTTTTTATGATTAACATTTCTCCCTTCATACTCCCTACTTCTAACGTTAACTCAAAACAAGGCTTTTTTAAAAATATTATATTATCCAAATAAAATAATTAACTTTATTAAATTTAAAACAAATCACTCATCTATCAAATCATCTATATTTGACTAGAATAAGTATTAAATAAATTTACGACATTAAAATTGTTTTTTCAGTGTACGATTTGGATTTGATAATTGTGATAGAAAATATCAGCCTTGTTTTTTTAAACTTGAAATGAAAAAATTAATAATATTTCACACATGGAAAAAGTTTGCTTTCAAGTACCAATTGTATTTCCACAAATTATATTCTTTACCCGTAACCTATATAAAGGAACTACTAATATATGGATTAACATTTAATACATATAGAGTCTTTAAAATCTCCCTGATAATAAAATTCAAAATCTAATATATATATATATATATATGGGGTTTGCTAAACGCGCGTACGCCTGTTTTTTCAGTTGGTATATTTTGCTAGCAGTTACCGGGTTTTATAACAAAAATATCCTTATATACCATGATTCTAAGTTCCTAGGTTAAGGGTATTTTAAATAATTTTCATTTCTCCAAAAACTAAAAAAAAAGAAAAAGAAACCCCCCAAACCTTTATCTCACCTCTCTCTTCCTCCAAACGCTTTCTCTTTTATCTTTCTCCTCCCAATCTTTTCTCTGTCATCCTCTAACTGTAGCCCCCATTGAAAAAAAGCAGAAAACAAACCCTATGTAGCCCCAATTGAAAAAAATCAAACAACCCTACTGTAGCCCCAATTGAAAAAAATCAGAACACCTACTGTAGAGCCCCAATTGAAAAAAAAAAAAAAATCCAAGAAACCGTTAAACAATCTAATCAAACAAATGATGTTAATAATGAGTTTTTGATCTTATAATTTTAGGTCTTATCTAATTTTAATCAATATCCAATTTTCACAAGCATAAACGAATTGGTAATTGACCTGGAAAATTCAGAAATATTGTTGTTTAAACAATTTCTTACAAGACAATGATTTTATACTGATTTTATTTTCTAATTTTTGTGTTTATCTGAAGAATTGGTATTGGCCTGAGAGATTTTTTTTAGAAGATGATTTCAACAGTATGCAGCATGATGAAATTAGAGAAATTAGTAAAGATGGTGAAATTGCAAGAGTCATTGAAATGAACCTTTACCTCAAGGTGAATATGTCAATGTCATGCTCAACTCTTTATAAAGGACAATTGTTTTAAAGGTGAGTGAAATAATTTAATTATGCATATGACGTGACATTTTATTATTTCATGGTAATATTTATTTTATACTGATAATGTTTGAACTCTTACAATTTATCTCATGTAGAAATCTGCTTTGGTATAGTTGTATCTCTAACAACTAGTGGTTAAGGCAGTTAATGGTTGTGTTGTTTATGTAATAACTTGTACTTGCTGATTGCTATATATTTTGCCTTTTTTTTTTCTTTCTTCCTAACTAAAGACTTTACTTGTTTGCTTCTGTTACCAAAATAAGGTGTGGGCTATTGCAGATACAAAGCGGCAAGGATATCTTGGTTTCTCTGAATTTATCATTGCTATGCAGGTAAAAATGTTATACATTTTTGTGAACTTCAATACAGATAAATTTCCAAAATCTTACTCACTTTGAAATGTAGCTAGTTTCTTTGGCTCAATCTGGGCACTCAATAACACCAGATTTGCCGACTAGTGATGGTAAGTTATGTATGTTTAGGTTTGTCTTATACTCTGTTTGAATAACGTTTTATCATTGTATTGGTTTGTAATGCACATTCATGCTGATCTGCATATGTTTATTTTGAGTGTCTTCTTGCAGTTTAACCTAATGAAAGTTTACTTTTATTTCAGTTGATTTTACAAATCTGGAACCTCCTGTAATGGATGGTTTGGATGCATTACTAGCTGTAAGTATGTCTTTCTAATGTATTTTTTTACAGTGTCAACATTTTATGTTTATTTTTGTGAAAGTTCTGACCACTCAAATTTGTTTACCCAGAAGAAAAAGCATAAACATAAAGAAGTTGAAACAAATGGTAATGTTTTTCTCGTTTTACCAAATTTGGAACTTCATATTGGTTTTATTTTCTTTTTATGTTCTTTCCTTTTGAAGATCTAGTCTAAGTTCAGTAATTACAGGTAGTTATCAATTGCAGCCATCACCATCGAAAAATTGGTTTTCTTCAAAATCAACTAAAAAGGCAAGCATTCTGTTACTGTTAATTTGATGGACTCATTGTGCATTATCCTTACCCTCCAGTCCACTAGAAAACACTGAATATTCATTTCAAGTTTTCAAATAATTGCCAACTTGAGTGTCATTCTTGTTCTTGAAAAGTATTTGTGAGAGACAACTGGTTTGGTTGCTCTCTGTCTTCTATAAGCTGATGAACAAAATATATTTAGGTAATGATTAGGAGCCTGAAACCTACCTTATAATTTGATTTCAATGCATGTGGTTAACTTATTTTAGCCAATATGAAGCACGGACACCCTTCTTCATTGGCCTGTCCTTGTGTCCGAAACCAACACCCCTATAACATGTGTCAAATACTCTGCCAAAGTATCAAATTTAAAAGATGATATTTTGCGGCTCCAACATGACTCTATCACAGCGCTAATGAGAATAATGTGCCTGATACCCCACATGTGAATATTGTTGTCAGTTTAGAAATGGTATTATATTATCTTGATTCTTCTTTTTGGCATGACGCGATGTGTGTTTTATCTCGTGGAAATCTAAACAACTAACTTTGTCACTAATAGTTTATGAATCACGTTAACATTATCCTAAAGGTCATCTTACTACATGTATGTTCTATAGGACCTTTTATCTGTATATGTTACCACTTTACTATTGGCAGTTTTTCAAAATTGTCAAATATTTCTTTCATAAGTCATTTTTCTTGTATTTGTGATACATTTGTTCATAGGTGCCTCTTTCCTCAGTGACATCAATAATTGATGGCTTGAAGAGACTCTACCTTAACAAATTGAAGCCGTTAGAAGCCACTTACCGTTTTAATGATTTTGTATCACCATTACTGGTGAGTAAGTTGTTTTGTTTAGGTTGTTGCTACGTTTTGAATATATACAAAGATATACATTTAGTTTTTTTTTTTGTTGATTGTAATTTTTTACATTATGTAGACAAATAGTGACTTTGATGCCAAACCAATGGTTATGCTTTTGGGTCAGTACTCAACTGGTAAAACAACATTTATCAAACATCTGCTTAAAAGTAGTTATCCAGGCAAGTGATTCTTCTTTCTCTATATGCCCATATGTATCTCTTGCGTCTCTTATATCTGTTTTATGAATAAATAATTCTATATCTCCCTGCAACAATTTCCTACCAATCCTTCTGATTATGTTAGGTTTCTTCATTGAAAGAAACCAAAACTTGCAGTTAACACACCCAAAAACACAAGTGACACCCACACCCAACACTTAAAATGTCTCTTTTATTTCACCACAACCTAAATACACAAAAACAATCAAGGGAAAATGTTTCCTTCACACAGGATGATACTAATCCTATCCAGCCTCTCAAAACTTCAAAAAAGATAACCCTCCAAAAGACCCAACCACAACTATACATAGTCTTACCACTAAGGAGACTATAACAGCCAACCTCCTAACTGCCCAACTAACTATTTATTTTCCTTCTCCTTATATAAAACATTTAATTTCCTAACAGATTACTATTTGAACAAAGTGTTGAATCTTTTCAACGTCTGTAAAATATGAAACACATTTATTTATTTTGATATTCTTTGTAAAATTTAGGAAATTTAGTAGGATTATATATCATTACTTTTTAAATATATAGTTGCTAATCTCTGTCATGTTTTTCCCATAAATGTTGTTAGGAGCCCATATTGGACCTGAGCCAACAACTGATAGGTTTGTTGTTGTCATGGTACGTCTAAGCCAAGTCAATTCCTTTCTGATGATTGTGTTGTTAAGTTCAATGTTTTCTTAGTTTTAAACATATACATCAATTTGGCTTGTAAATCATGGGAATATTGAACATCTTGTTAGAGTGCCAGTCATGCTTCCAACACTAGCACTCCTTATAGTCATGATTTACTCAACATTTACCAACTGGATTTAAAAATGTTTTTTTTGAAAGTTTATTACTTTTTTTTGTTAACTCCGTGCAAGGAACCCACATCCTTGCTGCCTACACCTAATCATGACTCTTTTATTACCAGTCTTTGACAATTGGATTGGAACAAATCTGCATCACAGTCGGAAGCCCCCATTATGTTGAGGGAAAAGAGAGAGAGAAAAACATATTTAAGTATGAAATTCGCAATACTAAAAGGAGAAATTGGGAATTCAGTAAACACTAAGCATGAGAAAAGAAACGGAAGAGAACAGTGGCATGTACCACTAAAACCTTACGCAAGTTATCTTTGACATCAACGAAGTTAAGAAAACTACTGCATGCTCTTCAGAAGGGTGAAGCGAACACTTTTTTATTTTCTATAGCAAAGGGAGCAACAGTAGAGAAAAAAGAGTAACAATGTTTCATTCTGCAGGAGGAATATCTTTAGGAGGAACATGGTTAGGTTATATGTGAAACATC